AAATAAATAAATAAATAAATAAATAAATAAATAAATATAAAAAGTATTTCATATGTGAAACTTGGGCCCAACTAAAGGAGAAGACAATGTCATCCACTGCCTACCCCATATAGAGAATAACCATGGATGTGATAACTACAACATCAACGGATACTAGTGCTTTCCTGGCGACTCATGTATCACAAGCAGTGTTGCCATTGGTGACCTGATGTTCCAAAGTAGTGAACAAGTTCTTGGCCAAGTGCAGAACAAAGCAAAGTCCAGTTTTAATTTACACGTAGGTACATTCCTGGCAAACTTTGAGTCTTTTCCAAAATGTAGAAAAACGATTTCGTGTTTACATGTTAAAAATAGTTCTATGCTCAGATAAACAGGCTTTTCGTATACATGATGTCCAGCAGGGCATTCGAAAGTTATCTTGGGAACTCTTCATAAGGGAGGGGTCTCAAGCATTCCAGGATGCCTAGCATCTGGACCATACCAGCTAAATGCCAGTATCATCCCTTCAATTTTTCGCTGCAATCAAAAAATGCCCCGTAAGTTTCCAGACTGCCCCCTAGGGGACAGTACTACCTGTGTGGTGGATCATCTTAAGAAGTCCCACCCAAATACTCTCAGTCCAGGTGCCAGAACAGTTTACTTTCTTCCAGTGATAACCCAGCTTTAGACTTAACACCAACTACCACCATGTGTCAGACCAGACTGGAATTCGGGACACTCGCCCTGGCTTCTCAGGATCCACAAGGATGGAGGCCACCCAGAACTTGTGACAGGGCCAACCTCAGGCATGATAGAGTCACCATCTGTGACCCAGAGCACCCAAGTCAAAGCAGTGCTACAGGCCCCTGAGTGTTGGGAGCAGGGATGAGTGTAAGTTTGAGATGGAATCCTGTAACCATCAAACAACAGGGAAGTTCTAAAATGGGGCTCAGAGCAAATGAGTTGCAAGATGACGGACTCAGGAAGTAGAAAAGCTTAGAATCTAGATACGGGGAGGAAATTCTTCCAGGGCTGCCGCGGAGGAAAGAATCCCAGCCACGCAACTGAAACTGTTTATTGAAACCTCAGTTCTACAAAAGCGTGAAAAACCCAAATACAAAGCAGTGGCCAGAGAGGCCTGTGAAGAGAACACCCAGGAGAAGAACTGGAAGAGAGGGAAGCCCAGGAGCAGGGTACTAAGAAGAGGCTGGAAGACAAAAGGGCAGGGCTGAAGGCGGCAGCAGTCCCTGGCTCCTTTAGGCTACACCCAAGGGATGGGGTGTGGAGAGGGTTTCCCACCTGACCCCGCCTTCCCTCGGCAGATCCCACCTTGGCCCTATCAGTCCCTCGCTCTCCTGCTTCAGGGACATCACTCAGGCCCCCAATCAACATTTCCTCCCTCCCTCACCCCACTTTTCCCCTTCCATCATAGGGAACTCAAAAGCAAAAGTCTAGAACCCAGGGAGGTGGAGAGACAGGGGCTTCTCCTCTGTCTGGCTGTGATGTGGCCCTGGTCACCAAGCTGGAGCTTTCCCTGGTACCATCGCTGCTCTGGCCAAGCAGCCAGCCACTGAGGTCTAGGAGAGTGAGTGACCTTCAGTCCTTCTACCCCACAACCCCTTAAGCTCCATTACCTAGGAGGACGGGGACCAGCCAAGGACCCAGAGAGGTAGAGAGGATCTAAATCAAGCTTTCGCCCTCTAGGTTCTCAGGGATTCCCAAATCCTCTTAATGCATTTGTTGAATGCCTGCCTAGCCCGGGAAAATGAAAGACTTGAGACGGGCTAGCTCCATGACACTGAAAAGGGAACACTGCTGGGGCGGGGGGAGCAGGGGGGGCATTGGACTCCAGAGCCAGGGTGGAGCCAGGCCACGGGAGTGGTACCCAGGGCTGGGAGACCCAGTGGAGACAGTATGGTTGGAGTGGTGGCAGGCGTGGCAGCTTGGGGAGTCTCTCTGGAGCTTCTGGCAAAGGGGACAGTTATGGAAAAGAGTGGGAGGGGCAGGAGGGTCTGGGGGAGGCAATGGAGGAGGAGTCAGTGAAGCCAGAAGACTGCCCCAGAGTGAACGCAGCCCTGTGTCACCATCCAGGCAGCTGGAGACGTTAACAGGACATGGCAGGCACTGTGGCACGGGAGAAGGTATGCAGGGTTCCAAGAGGCACCTGGAGGCCAGTCCAAGGTCCGGGGGGCCGGGCGAGGGGCTGCAGGGCAGCCCCAAGGACTGGTGAATTACAGCCAGTGACGCCACAGCCAAGGCCACACTGCTCACATATGCCATAGCTAACAGGCAAGACAGCTGCGGGAGCGAAGATAAGAAAAGTCAGTGCCCAAATACCCTTCCCCCAAAACCTGCTTCTGACTGCCTTCAACACATCCATCCCTTGTCTGGAAACTTGTGCTCAAGTCAGAGCTCTCTGTCGCCATCTACTCTCAAACCCCATTTCCTGAGACTTTCAGCATTTGCTCACCCCACCTTACACACCAGCCCAGTTAAGGCCCCTATCTTTCCCAATCCTCCTCACCTTTGCCAGCCGCTGGCAGAGGGAGCCCAGGGCCAACTGCCAGGCCGGCTGCTCCAGCAGCACACACAGGTCTGTGTAGGTGTACCAGCCCCGCCGCCGTCCCTGCTGCTCAGCCACACTGTTGGAAGGGGAGAGAGACAGAGGACACCTTCAACACTCCTGCTGCTGGCCCAGTGGCACCCTCACTCCCCTGGGGACCCACACTGGGGAACCTGTTATACACACAGGTTCCTAAACTACCTGTTGGTCCAGAAATGGAGAGCGAGCCTAAGATCTGTGTTTTAAATAAGGTTCTACCACCCTTCCAAAGAAGATTACAAAGAGGGCAGATAGGTTTAGGAACAATTACCTTGGGAGATTCGCCTTGTTGTCTCCTCCCTCCCCCCAGTTACACCCTAACCCTAACGGTTTAGATCTAAGCCCCCAAATGCCGTAAGCCCCTCTTCCCAACTCCTAGAACCTACCAGCTCTCCAGCCAGCTCAGCACCTCAAAGATCTCCCGAGGGTCAGTGTAAAGACGCCAATCCTATGGGTAAGAAGAGAAGGGCACCAGGCCAAGTTCAGATAGGAGCCACAGCCATTTAATAACCAACCAAGACCACGGCAGCAGCTACAACCGCCACTACGGCAGACGCTTTTCTTGGCACTTACTACGTGCCAGATACTGTTCCAGGAGCTTTTATATATTAACTCATTTGATACCACATTATCTGGTTTCACATTATACCCTCAGTTAAGGGCAAAGAAAGAAAATAATCCTAAGAACGGTCCACACTCATAGGGAGCTCACAGTCATGAGGCAGAGAAACTCTGGAAGCAAATAATCAGAACCCAGTGAGATAAGCTCTGACTCAGAGTGTAACATGTTGGGCCTGAAGGAATTAGGGAATGGTGTGGGGCCGGGAGTGGGGGGGGGGGGGGGGGGGGGGGGGGTTCCATTTCTGGCCTCACCATGCCAGGAACCTCCAAAGGCTGTGGTTGGTCCAGAAAGGCTGGGAAGGGAAGACACTAATAAGGAAAGACACAAGGAGAAGAGGCAAAAAGAAACAAACTACAGAACGCTGACTGAGAAAAGCAAAGGATGAAGGGAACATGAGGAGCGGTCAAAGAAACAAAGTGAGAAATAGAACAGCTACTCACCATGGCATTCAGGAAGCCCCTCTCCAGGGCATTGAGAGTGGGCACGGCCACACCCCCTGCAGCTCCCCATTCATCATTGAAGACCTCCTCCTCCTCCCCTTCATCATAGAGGTACTTACTGGCCACCATCTGCAGGGCAGCCAGAGGTGGTATCAGAAGCGCTCACACCCGGCTCCTGGGTCACCAGGACCCAGAAGGAGAGGGGGCGTCTTACCATGGAGATCAGGAACAAGTCAGAGGACGACACGTGCTGTAGGTAGTCTGGGTTTCGATGGCGGAGCCGTTCAATGTACACCAGAGCAAGCATCATAGCACACGGGGAGATGCACGCCTCCCTGGGGGGCAGGAAGGATCAGTAATTAACCACAAGGGTCTTTCAACACTTATAACTCTTATGATGCTCATCCCTGTGTCTTTATACCTTCTCTTTAGAGACAACCATTTTCCCCTTTCTCTAGGGCCCAAATACTACCGCCCTATCCCCCTCAATTCCAAGCTCACCGGGACACATGAGCTACGTATTTCTTCTGGAGCCGGCGAATAGGGCTGGGGGCTGCCTTCTGGAGCAGTTCCACAGCAATGTCTGCAGAAGGCAAAGGGAAGGCAGAGTAAGCAAACAACTCCTCCCTTGCCACCACCCCCCCCAACTCCCCCACGCACCCCCATCCCCAGTGCTATCAGCAGAAGACCCAGATCTGTATTATCTGAAGCCTTGGGGACAGAACCACAGTAACAAAATGTATCAAATTCCCCCACGTTGAGACAAAAAAACCCATTCTACATTTGGATTTCAGCTCCTTCCAACAGGAAGGCTTATTTCCCTGTCACCCAAAATTATCTAGATTTGTCTTTCACCTTGCTCATTTGAGAAAATAAACGTGCCTTGTGAATTTGGGATACATAGGATGTGTTTCTCGTATACAAATCAACAGTGGGGGCGCCTGGGTGGCTCAGTTAAGCATCCAGACTCTTGAGTTTAGCTCAGGCTCATGATCTCACAGTTAGTGAGGTCGAGCCCACTGTCAGGTTCTGAGCTGACAGCGAGGAGCCTGCTTGGAATTCTCTCTCTCTCTCTCTCTCTCTCTTTCTCTCTCTCTGTCGCTGTCTTACCCCCCGCCCTACACACACGCACTCTAACACACCCTCTCAAAATAAATAACTTAAAAAAAAAAAGAGTGGCACAGATTTGTAAGATAGCAATGTTTTTTTACTCACTCAGGCTAAAAAAATGTGGAATGGAAACCCAGTCCTTACACCAGACATCGATAAGTTAGCTATGAAAAGACGGTATAGCTCATGGGGTACACTGAGTTATTTTGGTGGCTGCTGACAACCCCATTTTCATGCTTCTTACTTGCCCAGGTACAAAACACTAACCTGCCACGGGGCTGGAGAGTTCCTCCAAGCTGCAGTCAGCTTCCCAGTCCCAGCCATAGTAGAGTCTCCTTCGGATCCGAGCGCTGAGCTTCTGGTGTCCAGGGAGGAACTGAAATGGCAGGTGGTGGAGGGTGAAAGGCAGGGAAGGCTACGATGGAGATCCTGGCTCCAGGCTGGGAATGGGGTGCGGCGCGGCGGGTTCACCTCACTGCTGGTGGGACCCATGCCCCACCCAGCCCCGTTCTCTAGATTATTTGCCAATGGTAGTTTATCTACACTGAGCGTGGGGGCGAGGCGGGGAGATATCCTCCACCACTGACTACTCTCCAGCAGAGGTTCTCGGAGAAGGTCCCCGGCGGCCACCCCTACCTCCAGTCCCCTACCAGAGTCCCCGCGACTCTCCCTCAGGGCCCAAGGAGCCGGGGCCTCGAGTAGTGAAAGCTCGAGTAGCTGCCGCCCGGCTTCCGCACCAAGCCGTCAGGCGAGTTCGCGGCGCCGCCCGGGCCGCGAGAGGAGCGCCGGGGATCCCGAGCTCAAGCACAGGAAGGCCAGG